CTCTAACTGGACTTACACGCTTTGCGTCTTTGTTGATGCAGCAATGTTTGTCATATTCGAATCACTCCCAACAGGCGTGCGAAATCTGGGCTCTTCTAGAATGGCTCCCAATGAAAATCCGTATGTTCACTAGCTGACCTCGTATGTTCGATGGAGTTAGTAAGCGGCAGCCAAAGGCAAAGTATCTTAGTCATCTACATGTACTTTACCATCAATTTCAGTTCGAGGATTGTTGAAGATGCGTTCTGTCGGCAACTGTCTTCACTAATTCAACTGGCCAAAGGTACAGACCCCGTGACCACATTTAGGGTGACATAATGCTCATATTTGTTGTCCATTAAAGTCAGACGATAGCCTCGGAGCCTGTTGTGGGATCACTGCTTGTAGCATTGCGATTGCTGATGACTTACTTCAACTATGGGCTGACCACTGCAACAGGGCTCATCAGCACAAGTATTCATTCCTTGTTTTATGACGGCTATCGGATGACAGGTCGTCCTGAGCTCAAATTGATCACATCACATAACTGGTTCACTTTAGTACAATATCGGTGTTCGTTCTGAGTCACTTGTTTCGATTTTAACCGTACTCTCGTGCATTTTCGCTTGACACTCACTCTTTTGCCTCATATAAACGCTTAATTTCAGACTTGCTTTTCCGTCAGCTGGACTCGAAGACAATGGCGCACATTGTCAGCTGTCACTAACAAGCGAGGTACAAGAACCGAATGAAATCTGGAATTTCCTCCAATACGTGATACAACTGCACTCGGGTTCACTTGATTCACCATTTTGAGGCCTCTAACCAGTGGGTCGATTTGAAGCCTCCATCAACCTGTTCGATGCGATAAAGATAGTTCTTTCAGGGTGTTCATAAAACTGTAACATCGACTGAGAGTCGTCCAGAAACCGTTGGATGACTATGTCCCGTTAAATGAAGAAAGCCATTGCCGTTGGGAAAGCAAAAGTACTGCCTGGCTTATCCGAGGCTCGAATCAATGGAAGGTTCTTGTGGAGGAGACAGTTACTAATGCGATTGAACAGCTGATATTCTGTCGGCCACATAAACTATTTAGTTGAGTCGAGCACCCTAAAGAGCAATTCAGCTGGTTCGACTGTTGCGGGAACGTCAAGTAACCCCGCAGAAATGCGCCACAAACTCCAGTGCGTGGGCTGCAAGACGCAGGGTTCAATTCCTGGCCACAACGTAGCAGGATCCAGCCACTCGGAGTCGGGCACTACTGGGCTAAATTAAACCATGTTCTTTCGTAAACCACCAGCCTTAGGTGGTGATTCATTTTACCCACAAAATGAACCATTGTGACAACTGTGATTCTGCCTTTGTGGGTCGTAAAAGAATTTTCAGAAGTCCTCTTCGTTTTCTCTTGTCTCTTCTTGTGAGTGGTTGGGACTCACATGATCTTGTGCGCCGCTCTAGCTGTGTCTTGTGTCTGCGTCTAAGTCTCTCGTGTCTTGTCCCCCGGTCGTGTGCGTATTGTTGTCTTTTTCGACTCAGCATGTCACCCGAATACGTGCGTGACTAGGGACTGTGCTCAAGTTACGCGTAACGTCCGGCTAGGCTGACGCTACCAGCGCCTGCGTAAATCCATTACATCGACCCTTCAGAGTTGTTCGTCGGGTCCTCTGGCTCCACTTGAGATGATAAGGTAACTGCTGCCAGCAACGACGAGATTCGATTAGGGTCGACGAGCTAAAGTGTATTACGGCAGTTGGCCTTGTCAACTTACCATCATCCTTGCTGAAGGGCATCGGTAGTTCACTGGTGACTACTCTTTGACTGCCCTGTTCGACACGATTTCGCTCAGAGAAGTGTCTTCTGACCGATGGCTCTCTGCCGTCATAGGTCTTCCCGTGCAAATCATAGTATCCATTTTGTCACACTTGCCTCCAAACGTCTCACTGCATCATACTGCAATGGCTGACTGATTCTCCTGAAAGCCAAGTGGATGAAAAACGGATTGGCTCCCACAACGAGTGCCTTGCCCACATCTTTGCTCTTTGACAGTTGGTTCGTTACCCCCTTGCAATCAGCCTATCATGGTAATCTTCATTGGTCGTAATCCCGTCTTTGACTTCGTTGCTTGTGCCTGTTTCTGACGCTTGCTCTGTTTGAATGGCGCTTCTGTCAAATTCCTTGGTACTCTAAAGTTTTTGCATGACCACGTTTATGGCCTTATAAGGCTCTGCCGAAAACTCTTAAATTTGCCACAGCAACTATCGTACGTTGTAGTTACCCCAGTCACATTTTATCTTTAACTTCTTGACTGACATGATTATGACTTACTATCTGTGGCCTTCTCGCAGGTCTGCTGGGGCAGAGAAATCGTTAGATGACAAACTTTCAAACCTTAGAGTTCGCAGGTTATATACTTCTTCGGGTCGGACTCAGATACCATGCAAGTGCTGCTGAGCAGGCTGCTGTTTTGCGCGGCACGTTTTGGCATTTTTTCACATTCAGAGTGTGAAGTACTATTATTTAACTGGGCTGACTCACCACCAGTTCTCACTATTACGAATGACAGCTCAATCTGTTCGATCGACTTACTTAGTAACTATCGCTTCTGGAGGTTACACCACCGTAAAAGTTGCTACACTTGTTGCTAATGTTCGTGAGGCTTTTCAAAGCTCCAGTCGCATGTGGATGTACGCTTATAGGTTAATAGAATGGTTTATAAACTTGTGGTACAGCCATTGTGACTCTGGATCAGCGAAGCTGGAATCTGAACGCTGGGGACGTTACGAGACTGACCATGCTTAACCACCACAATCCTCACGATGCATTGCTCACATCTGTTTAGAGCGCGTAGCGACAAATACCTAGTCTCGTTGTCTGATATTGGTTAATAAACCCTCTGGTGCTCCTGTTGAACTCGGCTCGATGTTGTGCTCCGATGATCACAAGCCGGTTGTCTCTGCATCTAGTCGCAAATAAATAAACAAATGCTTAAATGAAGAATAATTTGTTTTTCTCTCGTTAGAACGAGAGACGCCAATAGAGATGTGTGAAACCTCGGGATGGACATTCATTGACCTGGCACAGGAGTATGGAGATAATCTTCGAAACGCCAATCCGAGATGGTGCATGTCATCTCCCTAGATCAGTGGTTTCTCAACATTTTCGAGGTCGTTATCCACAAAGTGGTTTCAATAAAAACAATCACCCCTCAAAATTTTAGTTTCAAAAGCTAATTAATTATTGCTTCTTGCTTTAGATTACTGAAAATGAATACTATTTTAAATAAATTTGTATATTTCCCCGACAAACGGTACACGACCCCATAAGCGGGAGCGATAACTAAAATAAAACACCAATTTGTGAGCAATTTTTAGTAAGTAATAGGGGATGTGCGGTAATGAGACCATTGATATTGCTTAGTTCCAACAATTTATGGCATATTTCTGTGCGGTTACGGCCAGTGCACATTTAAAGTCGTGTTCCATATTCATTCGATTCTTGCTTTGGTGTGTGGTCTCTGATCAAACATGAACAGATGTCAATGGCTCCTTATTTGTTTCAAGTATCTCTTTCGACTTCCTCCTGGATGACAACTGTCAACCACCAGTCTTTGTCGGTACATCCTGAACACACATCGCCTGTTTTGTCTTTTCTACCTTGTAAACATTCGCTTACCACTTTGCTTGGTTGTCTGGCCTATGCTCCCATCTTAGTGTTCACTCAACTCGATAATTCGACCCAGCGAGCGACTGCCTGACTCAAAAGAACAACGATCGACGAGCGAGCCGTCTAGTCGCGCTCCTTTCCAAACTTGTATTCGTATTTTAGATAATAAAATTTGTTACCGGAAGGGTCTAATTCACTGATCACATACTAATGATTAATCACTAGTGGCTAATCAGTAGTGATTAGGTAGTTATATGCTTTGAAACCGGTGATTTTGTTATTAATTTTGTTTGGTGATAGATTGGTGACCCAATCCTCATAATTCTATTTAGCCCCTGCAGAGTTCCATTTTACTCCTTTGGAGGTAATTACCCTCAGGTTGATAAACCCTGCCCCAAATGGAGTCCTCAAGATTGGCCACACCGCCGCCTAAATACCCAATTGGATACGACGCGGTTATGGAAGCGCTAGCACTTTAACATTCGTTCCTTCATTTCTGAAACACCCTCTCCATCTGGCGGTTTTATCTGTCCATTATTTTTGAGTTCTCATTATTATTACTGTGGTAACTTGTATGGAAGCAACTGGATTCTCCGCGTCTCAGTGCTCGGATCACATTTCATAACATCCATTGAATCGTGTATCACTCATATACCCTAGCTGTCGCGTAAGTCAAGTTCAGTGCCTCGAGCCGATATCCAGATCACACCTGCTTTTCATGTGCGTAAAATCTTTAAATTACGATAAACGCATATGCTTTACTGCTGATGCAGCTTGAATACTTCCCGTAATGGTTCGTTAGTGCTTGTGTTCTTCTCTTCTGGCACGATTTCACGAAGGGAGCAAGCTTGCGTGAGAGAATCGGGAAGTTTCGGGCGCTATCGACGAAGTTTGAGCTCATTATCCTCCTCGCACCGAAATACTTTACATAGTTGCGTCATATCGAGGGTTGCCAGTCACGCTCCGCTTATTCGCGGCGCATCACTGTAAAACTGAGTACTGCTTGGATGGCCGATGTGTGTCCCACATTCGATCTTCGCTTAGCACAGCCCTTATTGCCTTCCGTCTTGGATTGCTATTCGCCTCGGGCCCTCGTAATATTTCCCCCCTATGCTCCCTATTTTTTACCCACCGTTGTTTTTTCAATCATGTTTGGTACATTTTGGTTGTGAATGCTCACTGTCGCTCTTGCTTTTGTCCGACTTCAACGGTCTCGGATTGTTATCGTTCTTTTACACGTGCCATACATGCTGTTTCACTGGGAATTGTCCGTTCTCACTTGCAGTACCTTTTGCGCTGTTACCTCACTAATCTATCCTACCTTTACGCAATCTTTCTTATGCGATCTTTTGATCCAGATGCTCCACCTATCGGTCGAAAGAAGCTGGGAAGCGTTATCTACTATCGAAAAGCTGTTGCAATTTTTGGTGGACCATTCATGCAATCCAGTCGTACAAGCATTGTGCTCCTTTGTGCAGTCGACGAAACTAATCCACATGACTCCTGAAAACGTCGGCGTCCTCCGGGAGCTCGCAGCTTATACGATTAATTTAATCACTGTTGGTCAACAGATTAAGTTGGACGAACTTGAATTACTTGAAATGTGGAATTCACACACGCAGCGGAAACCTTCCGGATACTTTGTGAGTGCTTCGCTCCTCTTTTTCTAGACTGCTGATGCCTCTTTGGTCAATAATTGGACATCATGGTTTTGTCTTTTTGTTATTAATATGGTGTATCTAACTCCACATTGCATTAGTCAGTATCATTCTTGTTAATTTTTACTAAAAATATCTGCTCGTCGACCATGGCTTAGCTTAAATTTTTCACAACATCTTCAGTAGTATTTATTTTCTATTTCATTTCTTCCTAAGTATTTCTTCCTAAGTATATATATTACTACTTTGATAGATATGATTATTGCATGAATTCATGCAAATTTTCTATTACTCGCGATTCCGCGCCATGTTTTCAATAGTCTCCAAGCAGCGGTGTTCTACATATTTCATTCTCCAGCCTGGAACGTGTACGGGACCGACAACAGGTAGAGTGAAGTCAACGTCTTGACGTTTTATCGCCATGTAGTCGGTTGACAACCAAGCAATTTCTTCCAGTGCGGCCCTGCGCGAGCGAATAGAGCGCGCCGTGGTAAACTCTCGCACGACATGCGTAGGACGTGACCCAGCCATTCCAGTTGGCGCGGCGGTACTAGCTTGTCGAGAGGGAGGCCTCTATTACCTAATACTTGATGTCTAGCATCGTCGTTCCCATTACCCACGAGCTATCCTCCGAAGACAACTGTTGTCAAAGGCAGAAATCCGACGCGTCATTTACACAATCGACCAGGAATCATTTCCATACGACAGTACCGCGCGAACACAGGTATTGTAGACCCTTGCCTTTTACCGAGAGTGAAACGTCACGCCAACGCCACTGGTACTTCAGATTAGCGAAAACTGATCGTGCTTTGGCAATACAGAGAGAAATCTCTCTTCCACTGGTACCATCACAGAAATGCAGTTCCTAACCTAGACGAAGCTATCTACTTGTTCAAGGTGTGCGCCTTCAAGAAGCAGCACGGGGGCAAGTGCATGCCAATCCGGAACTAAGAACTTACATTTCGTTGGAGCGATGATCACTTGGTTGCTTCAATCCGCAAGCGGTTTAGGATGACCTGGATACTCTGTGGACCGTCACCGAGCAACATCGTAAGCATTGTCCAATTCTATCGCGCGGTTGCCTGGAAGCAGCTCAACGCCAGAACCCTGGAGACCTTCCAAAGCGGTTAGTAGGACATCCTCAATCACAAAGTTGTTGAGAAACGAGGAAATGGGCATCCCTATCGCACACCGCTAGTGACGGCGAAAGGTAGAGTAAGCCATCATTGTGCGAGAGACATTGTTGTATATGGCTCGAAGTATGGTGGTATACGTTTCTGGTGCCCCATTCGTTTGCAGACAACGCCATAAAGCAGGCCAATTGACCGTGACAAACAGCTCGGATATCCAAAAAGGCAACAATGGTAGACTGGCGATAAACGTGACGCTGCTCGAGTAGTTGGCGGAGTGTAAACATATGGTCCACACACCCACGACCGGGGCGGAATCCAGTCTGTTCCTTGCGGGAGTGCAATTCTCGAATCAGTGTTAGCTTGCGGATTAGAATAAGTATTAGTAATTTGCAGGGGACGGATATCTGGCTACTTCCTTTGTGTGTGGTTGGCGCATAAGTTACGAACATCTTTTTCGTAGTTCATACGATGATCGACTCACCCCAAGAGGATGGAACCTTTTCTTTACACCAGATCTTGGAGATCAGAGCTGTTAACTGGTTGACAATTACCCTACTACCATACTTGAACAGCTCCAGAGGAAGTCCGTATGAGCCAGCAGCTTTGAATTGCATTAAGGTACGAAGCTCAAGACATACCTCCGCTTCGGTGGATGGTTCCAGTGAATGTTCCAAAACGTGAAATCAGTTATACTTGTTAGACAGGCGGGAAAAGGCCAACTGGATTGAGATCTGAAGTGCTCAGCCAAGCGGTTCATTCTCTTGCGCAAATTGGTGATTTGTGATCCAACTAACTTCACTTACGCTAAGTTTTATATGATCATTGGTCAGAATGATTTGGAAAAGCTTGGCAAGATTTCCAGAGAACTGCTGCTTTCATCTCTGAAGCGCACTGAAGCCACCAATCTTCGCGATCGTTAAGCAAGCTCTGCTTGTTGTTGGTTGACGTTACGGCGGCCTTCACCACTGCTCGAATCAGTTGGGATAGTTCGGCGACGGTCAAAATTCCAAACAGCGATCTGAGATCCACCTTCTCAGAGGAAGCCCAGTGATTAACTGGAAGGAAGCAACGCCTTCTGCAAGAAGCTCCAGTGATGTTCGACATCCGGAGGTGGAGCACTATCGAACACATCTGATAAGGAGGATTGATAAGCCAGTATACTGAAGAGGTCAGCTAGACTTTTGGTATCCAGTGTACGGTGCTTTGGTTTTAAAGAATCCCCGACGCGCACGCAGGTGTCCGCACAGACCGGAGCGTAATCTGCGTCGAGATAGGTAGGACAAATTGATTTGCAATCACATACACTGACTACAGTGTGATCGATTTATGACCACGCTTGCGTAGGCGAAGCGAGACGCCAGGTGGCGGCGCGTCTCCTCGAATGCCTTAAGTTAGTGTTCGAGGGAAATAGGCGGTTATCCTCACATAACGTGAGGTGTCTATCTCCTTTATCAGAACAGCTCTCATCAAGGTCTTGACGGCCTCCAAGATGACATTCACATGTTGCCATGTGGCCAACTCACGCATTGAAGTCTCCGAGCAAACACGATGACATCGGATTTTTCGGCTTTGCTCAAAAGCTGGTGTTGTCGGCAGTAAAAGTCGTCCTTAGTCGATGCCAAACTGCAATCGGTTGGAGGTTAGACCTAAATGCCAAACAGATTGTATCTCTGTATTGATCCTGCATGAGCCTTGAAGTCGAATCGTACACACTCGGTTGTCATTCGGGAACCAGTCGATCATCGAAGCCTCAGCTTTGTCACTCAATGCGATGCCAACACCAGTTAAGCCAACTGTAGCTGTTTCCATGTCATCAAACAAATGCATGGAATATTGGGTTCTGAGATCAGCAGGGGACTTAAACTTAACCACAGTGCTGGAGTCCTATAATCGTATCTCTGAAAAGCAACAAACATCAATAGCTAGGGACTCTAGGGTGCGCGCTAGTCAAACCTTTTGTCCGATATGTATAAGGGTTCGGACCTTGAACGCTGCCATCCGCAGGAGGTCGGATGGTCGCATTTTTTGGACATGGGCGAAACTGTCATCGGAGGTAGATTCAAATGAATTATTGGCAAAGGTAAGATTGGTGTGTGATGGAGGTGCGTAAGCAGTGAGGAGCGCAGGAGCAGAAGAAAACGACGTAGTAGCAGTAGTAGTTACGGGATCTATGGTTCTGTCAGTGAGCGTTTGCCCGAGCCGAGGTGGAAATTTGTCTTAGAGAACACCACTCCTAACCTTTGGCTGAATAGCCCACTCGCAAGGATGCGAGCGAAGTTGGGGAATCGTGTACCTTCGGATCCGGTGACCGATTACTCAGTTCGTACGCCTTTCGTTTGGACGCCCACCAAACAGGGGCCCAATCCTCCCCACACTTTCAGCATCGGATTGCTGAAATACACTCTCCCATCAGAGTGAAGCAAGGGACAATAACTTTGTTTAGTGACAAGTCACCTCCTCAACGTCACAGTGTTATTAAACGGATATATCTGGCTTCTAATAAGGATAACGCTTGCCAGGCGTAAGCCCAACACATCCTGAAACACTGCCGTCAAACGATTGACTGAAACGGGTTAATCCCGAGCCACCCAACTTGCACCACTAGGAGATTGTTCGGCAAGCCAGTCTATCATAATAATGTGTTTCTCGGATGCACGAGTCACGGTCCGATTGTTATGTACATGTCCCATTCATACTTGTTAGTGTACACAAGTTGTTCTTTACAAGCGGTTCCGTTCGCCCCCTGATATCAATTAGCCATTTCCTTCGAAAATGCATAGCGCATTGACGTTGATCATCTCATCATTTCGTCGAAATGATTTGCAGTCCTGGAAGCCGTAAATAAAAAGAATATAATGTCTATAAGTGGCTTGTTCATCAGGCATTGCGTAGGAAATTCCAAAGAATAATGTATCGTCTAGCTCTCCAAGAGACAAGCAAAGCCTGGGAAACGCTCAGAATCCCTTACTCGTAATGCAGTGCATCATCATCATTACACATTAGCTATAGGTGAGAAGCAAACTTCAACTATTGTGCCGCAATACAAAAAGATGCATAAATAAGCGAGATCTTAAACAGTATTGAATACAAAAACAGGCAACACACTGCGTACTAACATATTATACTTTAAGACAGAGACCGTGATTGGAGGGGAAGAGATAAGCGGTATGATGGGGAATCAAGTAACTCACAATACGAACGCCATTCAAGTCGGCTTCTTGTCATGACAACAAGCGTGATGAAATAGGGCGCCGTGGTTATCCTCTGCGACGATCAGAGCATCAGGAAATCTTTGGAAGAGAAATTTATTGTATTGCATGGGCAAGATAATGTCACGTTACCCAGGCCTAGACAGGAGAACAATTAAGCTTCTCAATCGAAGCCTTTGGCTCAACATCCGGACCGCAAGGCATCGGGTTTGGCACTTGGTTACAAAGAATCTGTTTTAAGGAATAAGAAGCCACTCTCACTCCAACCCCGAATTTGGAGGAACAGCAGGCCGAGTTTGGCTGGCCTCTAACCATTGACCAATCTGGTATGTGGCTCTGAAGGTGCAAAAAACCACCTGACATAGCTCAATGGATCTCTGAGGCACCCAAACCATCACAGCACGGTAAGGTCCAGTCTCGTCGTGATCTAATGCAATGCATCTATTAACGCTTACACATTGAAGCGAGTAACAAGTGCTTAATGTAATTACGCTTTTGGGTTAATACCGTGGATAACGTTACTTTTAGCTTATATAATGTTGACAAGGATGAAATCCAAACAGAAAAATCAGAAGACGTAAACTGTGAGATTACTCAGTCATTTCGTGCAAGGTCCTGACTAAACTTGATCAAAAAATGAATG